ATACAAAAAGGCGCTGGCCGAGTTGAGTTGGCAACAATTTGACACTTATAAATTATGTCACATACTTCTTGGCGCTCGGCACAAGAAAAATTGATCGAATTGCCAGAGTGGCCAGAGTGGAGAAGTGGCCAAAGTTGTTTGGCCAAAGTTTTAATGCTTATCGATAAATTTGGAAACTCTTAAAGCGCTGGTCACAACCTCGTGATCTATGCGACTCACTCAATTGCTCAACTGCTCGCTAATCTAGTGCCAGCTTGTTGAGCTATAAATAAAATGTGGTCCTCCTGACAGTCTTCTGTCCTGTCATTGCATACACTTGACGCAAGAACGTGCATTGAATTCTAAATGTGTTTTTCTAGCTTACGAAAATTAGTTCTTGCAAAAAGCATTTCGTTCTGTGGTCTAGGAGTGGATGCTCACAACGTTTTTACTTGATTCGTAAGGAAAGTACCATACCTTTTTTCTCTGTGTATGCGTGCATGTGTGTGTGATTTTCGTTGCCATTGTATTCTTTAGTTTAGTTTTTGTCGCCGCCAGTGCGACTAGTCAATTAGCCGCTGGCGTTGCGGCCATTGCAGCTGCCTGGCGACGACGGTGCTGACAAATTGCATTTGTTGCCAGTTGACATGCAGACAGCTACTGGCACTGTGGCAGTGCAGACAGTTACTGGCACTGTGGCAGTGTTGCTGTTTTAGTGGTTAAGTGCTGCGCAGGTGGTGGTGTCAACAGGAAGCAAACGCAATTTTTCCCATTCATTGGTTTTAATTATAGAAGCCATCAAACACAAATTAGCCTTGCGTCTTCATTAATACTTTTTTTATAGTCACTCACATTTATTACACTCACACACACAGACACACACACACATTCAGCTTGGCACCTAGCTCGATGTTCACTTTTAGCATCTAGTTGCCAAAAAGGAAAAAAAAAGCATTTGTATGCCACGATTTATTGTTGTTGTCAAAATGTTTTTTACGTTTTTACATTTTTACTTTTTGCTTATTATTGTGTCGACAGAGCAGCATTGAAATCGGAATCTGTTGCTTCTTTCCACTATATGCAAAAAAAAAAAAAGAAACCTTTACAAATGCTCACTGTTTTTGTTGAATTTTTTTAAATGGGTGCTGAGGATATAATAATGTGGTTTTGCTTTAGCCAAAAAAAGGATTTTCAGTACTATTTAGTGTACGAGTATATGTAGTGAGAAGCACCAACTGCCGACCTTAATGTAAATAATATATATTCCAACGATCTTTAGAGATAGAGGCGGTAATTAAATATTGAGTTCATTTAATACGTCAGATTCTACATTTTTTATTTCATTTCTTTTTATTGTGCACTATCTGAAGCTAGAAAATAATACATAATTTGTATTCAGTCCATATTCAGTTGGAATAGATTTCTAAAGTACCTCTAAGAGGCATCATTCTTATGTACATAAAATATTTGTGAGTATAATTGAAATTTGCAAATTGACTATCTTCAAGTCGAGCACTCTCGACTCTTAATCTGCTTACTTCACTCTCTATGTTTTTTTGTCATTTGTCGGCACTCAGTATGGTCGTTAGAGCAGCTGCCTGAAACTTTGTTGACTAGCTCCTGACTGTCAAGAGTGGCAAATGCAACTCAGCCAACAGATAAATAGCTAACAATGTGCCGCTTGCTACACACATATTAACGAGCTTGATTTCACCCTTTCTCTAAATTTCTTCTGCAAATTGCTTCCTGCCTAAGTGACAGGCATCCCTTTTAGCCTTATAAATCATGCATTAGATCTTTTGGATTCCTGAGAATTGAATACTTTTCCACTTCCTCTTTCACATGCCTTTATATCTACCACATTTCTATTCCAAATTGCAGACCTCTCGTGTCATTTCATATTTACTTTAGTTTTTCGCTCTCTGTCTGTTAATTGTTATTTGTAAAACTTTCTGGGAGCTCGTCACACCCACACTGCTCCGCACAGCCACATCGACCACATCCTCCGCATCCTTAAAGTGTCTCCCAAGGCTTTACTTAAGTTTATCAGCCACTTATCCTTCTTACTATGTTGCGAGCTTAACGCAAAGTTTTTCTTTTTGGCCAAAACATTTCATTTCAGTCGCTGAGCCAAGTGAAAAGCCAAATCAAGACTCAACGCAACAGAATTGGCCAACTTCCCACGCCCCACAATCCCTTCCAATCCGCCTTCCCCCCCTTGATTGCCCTCTGATCTCTTGGCTTTTGTTGGCCTCTGTCTGTTGCTGCTACTGACCAGCTCGCTCGTACAAGTTTCTCAAGTTGATTTTACATAATTGCACTGGCACTAAATTAAATGCGCACGCACAGCAAGCAGTCGGGCCACGCCTCCTTTCGCTCATACGCCCAGCTAAGCCGGCAAAGTTTTAGCGAGCAACTTTAAAGCGCCAAAAAGTTTGCGAGCAGGCGCTCGTTAACTAAGACCAATACCAAATGCTTATTCATTCATGTGTGTGAGGTTGTGTGTACTTTTGTGTGTGTGCTAATTCTGCTACCAGAAGCGATGAGAATTTGCTGTGCAATTTGTGCTTTCTGTCAAGAAATATTCTCGTGAAATCAATAGGGAAATAAAGACTTCCGCATTAGTTTTATTTAGAAACATGTTCCATGAACACATTTTATTCATAAGACAATAAGAATTTGTACTACACAAAATTTTTTTTTGTAAATTGTAGTTTCTGTAAATCTGGTAGGATATAGATTTTTTACTATTCGATTCGGAAACTATCAAAAGAATCTTTCAGTAGTAAAAGGTTCAAATTGTTGCACATTTTTTCTTTTAAATCTTTAACTGCATTTGTGTTAAGAAATTTGAAACAAATACGTAGTATATTGTGTGCTAGTGTATGCTTTGGAAGAACAAATTAATCGTTTTAGAGAACAGGGTTTTTAAATTAAGATATACATGCCATATATATAGTTATCCCAAACGAGGTAAATCATCACACATAACTCGATGCTCATCTCTAATTGCAGTCAAATTGTTCAGTCAACTATAAGCAATGCGTCAAATTCCAGCAATAGTATACGTGTGTCAGTTTCACATATCTGATAACGTGTTCTATGATGAGTTGTATGGGTTTTATGACAATAGCCACGCCCACATTTGAATCACTCGCAACTGAGCAAAGCTGGGCAGCATGCTGAAGGCATGGATTAGATGCATACGTAGTGGTACACATATATTTGTGTAGCATACTTTTCAGTGCTCACAAATGAAATGGTGTTCAATTGGCTTTTTGATCGCTTTTGTTTTTAGCCTGGCATTCTTACACACAGACACACCCACACACACACAAAAACACACTCGATATTGTTGCCAAATTGGAACACACACGCACTGAATTTGATTTGACTGCTTTTGACATTTATGCCCTGCTGCTGCTTCTGCCACCATTGATTTTGACTGTGAGCATCCTTTTTCTGCTATCCACATCATTTTCTTGTTACATTTTATGGCTCCACTATTATCGACAGGCCAGCGAACGAGTGCTAGCCTTTGATTTAGTGATTTACCCATTGCAAATGTATCTTTTGTGTGGTCTGTTGTTGTGAAACCATATTAAATCATCTCAACTGAGCACTCAAGTTCAATAGATAGAATAGAAATTCTACCGTTTTGTTCGTCAAAGTTCCGCATCAAATCGTTCTTCAATTTGTAATGGAACTTGCTTGAAATCATTTTCAATTTAATGCCACAAAAATAGACCAAAATTCTTCAACTACAAAGTACATATTAGACGCATTTTTGTACTTTAAAACGTGCTCGGTTTTATTTTTAGACTTAAGTGTTTGGCTCAAGCTAATTGAGTTGTATTTAGACCTTAAGTACTTATGAAAGGAAAATAACATCCTACTTCAAGTTTTCCAGAACTTACCCCGAAAAGGACTTGTATTAAAAAAAAAGAACATAAGAGGTAGAGGTGTTTCAGTTAGGCATTTATTTTGATAACGTTTCTACTTGATTCAAGTTAAAGTTACCTTTTTTGACTGTGTGCGAAATTTGAAGTGTTTGAAGTTTAAACTTCAAATATATCCAAGGACTGAATTTATTTATTCATTCGCTTGCAGTCAGCTCACTTAATTGGTACTTTGAAGTCAAAATATTCTTTAATGTGCCTTTCGCTGTTGTAAGGTAAAATTCAAAGACGAAGTCAAACACTTTAAATTATCGAGGGACTGACGGCAATTTGCTTTTGAAACCACGCCCACTCACTTGCAAGCCGCCCAGTGCAGTATGCCCATTTAACACCGTGACCCCCACTCGCACCCATGCACCTGGCAAGGGTCTCCGGGTGTCAAGTGTCAAGTTCCACAAAAGACACATCATGCCAATTCTGAGCTGATAACTGAGAACTGACAACTGAGTAGCAAAGTAAATTTCAGCAGATATCTGTTTGCAACTCAGGGCGTGACTCTGCGACTATACTCTCGCCTTGATTACTTAATAATATAGTATTATTATTCGCATAAATTGCTTTTATTGGATATTTCTGTGCTCCATTGTGTAACAAATATGTTAATTAAATTGTCGTTGTTCAATGAACGGGTGTGTTGCTGGCCATTGCCCTCAATACTTGATTATAACCAGTTGCTATTTATGTTACCTTTGCCAAGAACTATCATCAGAAATATCATTGAATCCAAAATAGACACTGTTCCAAGAATAGATCAAATTGGCTTGTATAATTATATTTATAAATATACACAATAAATTTGATTGCCGAATATATATAAATAATGCTAATTAAGCCCGAAATAACATATTTCGCATTAAAATCTGTAGAATTTTGCCTTGAAACGGCATTTAATGATTAGTATTTATTTGTCAACATTTTTGTCAATTTTTATTGCTTGGCCAACATTGAAATTAATCTTCATTTATATACAATTTTATACATTTCTGACGCAATATAAAGGAGACATTAAATCAATGCAAAAACTGTTTCATATTTTCAAATTGTTATTTTTGAATGTTTCAGGTGGTTCGGACAGCAACAAGGGAAAAAGTAAAAAATGGCGCAAAATATTACAATTTCCACACATATCGCAGTGCATCCACCTGAAAGACAAATTAGGTAAGCACTCAAAGTGGCCTTCAAAGAGTTTTCAATTATCTAACTACCATTTATCGTTTATCGATAACAATTGCAGACATAAGCTATGGCTACGTGATAGATATGCAGCCCATTGGTCGTGAGTTGTTTCGTCAGTTTTGCGAGAACAAACGGCCCGTTTACTTTCGCTACATTACCTTCCTGGAACAGGTAGTGAAGTAAGTGATTTCATATTCATATTCAAGTATCAAATATGATGTATAATATATATTTATAATGTTTGCAGATATGAGATCGAGTATATTGTGAATCGGATATTCATGGGTCATGACATTGGGCGACGCTTCTTGGACATTGAGCCGCTGCTGTCCAATTTCGAGGATGGAGATGAACTGGATTTGGAGACGCGGGAGGAACTGCTGCATAATAGCAGCAATGCCAATCCAACTGAAACAGCTGAGACTGAACATTGCAACAATACCACCGCCAACAACTGCAACAACATCAACAGCCGCAGCAATCACAAGAAGCTGCAACAGGATACACACAATCACAACGGTGAGGATTCAACGCTGAATGGTGTTGGCGTCGTCGATGGCAGCGCGGAGAACGATGGCGATGAGGGTGTCGAGTGCGAGGGCAGTCAGGATGCGGACAAGGGTGCGGGCTCTGGATCGGGGTGCGGTTCGGGCTCCGATGAACTGGTCCTCGACGTTCTCAACGATGATCTCATTGCACAAGTGCGCCGAAAACTGAACAGCGGCGGCAAGGATCTCTTTGTCCATTGTGTGAAAGCAGTGAAGGCCTTCCTCGCCGGCGAACCCTTTCGCGAGTTCGAGAACTCCATGTACTTTCATCGGTGCGTACCTGTCGTTAATGTAATCCAATCATTTAATTGATACCCAATCTACCTCAAACTTTGCAGCTACTTGCAGTGGAAGTGGCTCGAGGCACAGCCAATTACATACAAAACCTTTCGCATGTACCGTGTTCTTGGCAAGGGCGGATTCGGTGAGGTGTGCGCGTGTCAGGTAAGTTGGCAATTGGATAACATACCCACTGCACTACACACACACACACACACACTGATACATATACAAAATCTCCTTCATCCCTACCATTTTTTCATTCTATTTTCTCTCTCTTGCACTCTGATGCAATTTGAGGTGTATTGGTTTTAAGCAAATTGGTGTGTGTCAGAGACCTAAAACTAGCTAAACACAGTCAGACCTTGTCTCAGTCTCAGTCATGGTTTTAATTGTTGTTCGCCTAAGTTTGCTATAGAAATTTCAGAATTTACAGATAAAAAACACTTGAAAGACATAAATATACGAATAATTATTTGTATATTTGTCTCTTTTTAGCTAGATAAACAATTCTATATATTCCCCCAATTTTATTTATTTTATTATTCAGCTTTTTCTCAAACAAAAATGTAGAGTGATGAAAGATATTTTTTTTAAAAGTCACTTCATATTTTTCTTTTTCATCATTTCTTAGAAAACCAATCATGTGTTGTGCTTAACATAACAAGTTTTAATTAACTCAAATTCAAAGAATTTCTAAGAAAAACCATTTCCCAGAGCTTGGATAACAGATGCCCCATAAACCTTGTTTAAAGGTCCTTCAAATACTTTCATAGGCAAACACACACACATATATATATGTAGAAGAGAGTTCCTTATTAGCTTTTATTACACACTGTTATTAAAGTATAAGCCAGTCGGTTATTTGCGATTGGAATGTTCTCACTTGTTTTTATTTGATTTTTGTAATTGCAGGTGCGCGCCACTGGCAAAATGTATGCGTGCAAAAAGCTGGAGAAAAAACGCATAAAAAAGCGCAAGGGCGAGTCCATGGTGCTCATCGAGAAGCAGATACTGCAGAAAATCAACTCACCCTTCGTTGTCAATTTGGCCTACGCGTACGAAACAAAGGATGCCCTCTGCCTGGTCCTAACCATAATGAATGGTGTGTATTATCCCGTTCGCAGTTCTATCCCATCCCCATATCTCATGCTCCCTGTCCTGGAATGAACGCAAAAAAAAAGAAAGAAAACAATGCAAAACGTTCGATTCGCTGGATACCACTCGGTGGTGCTCTACCTTTTAATCCACAGGCGCGCTAATTGGTTCTACAGAAATGAACACTCTCTCTCACAGACACACACTGACTTATACACACACAGAAATAAACACACACACAAATATACGTACTTGTAAAATATATTTACGCTGTCCGGCAATCATTAAACCTAATAAGCGCACATCAATTTCCATTTGGCTGCATTCATTAAACAGATAACGAACGTAATGTGAATGTGATGGGCATTGGGATTGGGATTGGGATTGGATGAAAGTCATCAGCCTTTTATTTATTTTTTTTTGGATTTACCCTTGTAGAGGTTATTATAATTAAATTACGAAATCCTTAAAGCATTTAAAAGTATACTCGTATAAGATAATTGCCTTGGTCAGCATCTGCTACTGTTCTAGCTCGCTATCGAGTTTTTTATTATATATGGCTTAAAATTGACATAAGTCTGAATTTCTGCTGTATCACATAGCTGTCGTAGATAATATCGATTCATTAAATGAGTTCTTATACAACGAAAATGGGACTTCCACTAACATTATAATGAACATATTTTTTTTGCAGTCCTCAAGGGTATTTAGTCTTCGGCAACCTATGGATAGAATTTCTTGAATTTCTTTCTGCTGGACAGTTTTTCATTTTAATTAAATTTCAACATTTATCGTATTCATTTTGCTCATCACTCAATACTCAATCCAATTCGCAGTCCGAGCTGTCATTCAGCACCTAATTGAATTTGCATACAAAGAGCCAATGTCCATTTGCTTGCTTCTCATTTAATTAGCAGCTTTGTCAATAGCCCTCGGACGTACTCTATTTCTATTTATCTATTGCATTTATTTGTCGCAGGCGGGGATTTGAAATTTCACATTTACAACATGGGCGGCGAGCCGGGCTTTGAGCTGGAACGGGCTCGATTCTATGCCGCCGAGGTGGGCTGCGGACTGCAGCATCTGCACAAACAGGGCATTGTCTACAGGGACTGCAAGCCAGAGAATATACTGCTCGACGATCATGGGCATGTGCGCATCTCCGACTTGGGTCTGGCTGTGGAGATACCTGAGGGTGAAATGGTTCGTGGACGTGTCGGCACTGTGGGTGAGTAACTTAAGCAAGTTATTAAATGTGTATAGAGGAGAAACTCTATTTATTATTATGATTTTTATTCCCCTAGGCTACATGGCGCCGGAGGTGATTGATAATGACAAATACGCTTTCTCGCCGGATTGGTTTAGTTTCGGTTGCCTGCTCTATGAAATGATCGAGGGTCAAGCGCCATTTCGCATGCGCAAGGAGAAGGTGAAGCGGGAGGAGGTGGACAGGCGTGTCAAGGTGCGTATAAAGCGAATTGCAAATGTCTACAAATATATGTATGCCAACTATAATATATTATTTTCTTGCAATTTGTCAGGAGGATGCCGAAAAGTATTCGAGCAAGTTTAATGATGAAGCCAAATCAATGTGCCAACAGCTGTTAGCTAAATCGATAAAGCAACGTTTGGGTTGCCGCAATGGACGCATGGGTGCCCAGGAGGTGATGGCCCATCCATTTTTCCACTCCACACAGCTGAACTGGCGACGCTTAGAAGCCGGCATGCTAGAGCCACCATTTGTGCCAGACGTAAGCCATTCCAATATAGTCACTACTGATCACTTATCTAACGTTAAATTCAACGACAACAGCCGCACGCCGTTTACGCCAAAGATGTGCTCGATATTGAACAGTTCTCGACCGTTAAGGGCGTCAATATCGACGAGTCCGATACGAATTTTTATACGAAATTCAATACGGGCTCCGTATCGATTTCATGGCAAACTGAAATGATGGAAACAGAATGTTTTCGCGAGCTGAACGTCTTCGGACCCGATGAGTGCCCAACGCCCGATTTGTTGATCAATGCCCAACCGGAACCAGACAAGGCCGGCTGTTTTCCTTTCAGGCGCAAGGTACGTCAAGCAAAAAATATCTAAATGTTCATTTTTAACCATAAAATAAACAGGCATCCTCCAATTTGCGAAAAAGGAAAAGCAAAAAAAAAAAAAATATATCATTTTGTCTTAATTAAAGAAGTTGAAGTGGAATTGATACTTTCATCGCTAACAAAATTATGCGCAAAAGCGGAATCGGAATATTTTTGTTAAAAAGCGGAAACGGAAAATTGATGTGCAATTTGATAGTCTCGAAAAATGAATCACTTAGGTTTTAAATTTAAATTGAAGTTCGTTTTCAGACAAGAAGATAAGTATCTGCTAAAGAAGGATAAATATGTTTTGAAAAGAGACCCTCTGTCAAGAAAAACATTCAAATGACTGGGTATTTGAATGTTTCCCTTGACAACACATAATCTGAATAGCAAACGGGTAACAAGCAAATGAGTCCTCTTATCTGATTGTTTCTAATCACTAAAATATGTATTTCTATTTAAGGTATCTAATAAATCGTTCTTTTATTTTGTCATTCACAGAAGAAGCAGCCGGCTCGCACACAGCCAATACCCATTCCTGAGCACCTGCTAACCACTAGTCACAGCGTGTCATCGACGACAGTTGAGAGCTGATAGCATAGATTAGTAAAAGCCCAAAGCAACGCCTAACTAACGTAAATAGCACAAATTGCGAACCGCAGAAACGCACAGTTAAACCCGATTTGCGGGTGGGAAAATGATGCACAACTGAAACTCATTGCAATTCACGAACAACCACATCATCAATGACGAAGCATGTTCGAAACAATTCCTTACATAATATATAAAAATATATATATATATAAAGGCATATACATACATATACGTGTGTGAGTGTATTTTTCACATCAATTTTCTAATGAAAATAAATTGAGTTTGAACAAAATTACAAATTGCAAATTGGAATGCAAGAAAATTTCTAAAAACTTCAAAATATATACAGCAAGTAATTTATATTTATAAATGTTTTCCAAAAAAACAAAAAAAAAAAAAACAGAAAAAAAAAGACTCACACAAAAAATTAACATAAACACACTGAGAGAAAAAAGAGAGAGCGCACATTAGGTCGTTACTTAAATGATATACCATATATCATACTATATATATACAATACTTACTTATTATACGAGTAGGTTTATATATGGTAAAATTCAACCGTTGAAAAAGCGAATACTAAACAAATAATAACAAAATAAATACAAAAAATGGAAACTTAAAGTAAAATAAAATAAATTAAAAGCCGCAAGCCAAATTGGCCGTCAGTTTGTCATAGCACCTAAAACTAATGTTACTTAAAATGCGTATGCTATTTAAATATGTATAATACTTATATGCATACACACACACTCACACATACATCTCTATATAGACGGCAATCTAGAGGCAATGCCAGAGTAAACAATGTAATATTTGTAAAGTAGTTATTGTGCTCAACGTGTTTTTGCAGGGGCTGGGGTTCGGGTGGGGCGGGAGGGGACGTAAGTGTTTTTTTAGTTAGCATGTTTAAGGCAGTTAAGCAAATGACATAAATACTCGAAACAACTTTAATGCATTTTTATTGAAATACTTAACATACATACATACATATAAATACATACGTACATATAAGTATATATAGCTATATACACAATCTATGTAAATGTATGCATACATACATATATGAATGTACATTTCTTCTCGTTTTTTTTTTTTTCGTACTTCTTTTTGTTGCCGCACACTTTTCCCTCTTCAATTCTACAATTCTGTTGCCTAAGTTTAAGTTGACTGCAATTTGTTCATTAGGAATTTTTGAGAACGTGATTACTGATATATATTGGTTTGTCATGCAGTACATACATACATATGTATATATGTATATGTATTTGCATACTGCAAATATTGCCAGATAATTGCTAACTGAGACGTCAGCTAGTGTTTAAGAGTTCTGTGTATACATGTGTAGTGTAGGCATTTTTGTAATTAGCAAAGAATAACTAAAAACAAAACAAACCTTACAACACAAAACAAAATTTGAGAATTTATTATGTTACACCTCATTACAAATTGAAAGATCATAAGTTCGTTTCACATTTAGGAGAGAATGTCATTTAGTTACAATTCAATTCGATTTTTGGCACAGCTAGTAGCTAATTGTTAGGGTATACAATGACAGCAAATAAACACGCATCCAATATAACAAATGAAAAAGCACAATAGCATAATAATAATAAAAACCAAAAAACAAAACAAAACAAAAAAAAAAAAGAAACGCCACAAGCTCGATAAAGCATAATTGAATTTTAGCACAAAACAAAAATGAAAACAAAGAAACAAAGCAAGCGCCGAAATATTTATCTATAGTAATTAAAGGCATATTTATAGATCATAATAATAATAATGAAATACCAGATATACATACATAAAAGTCTACTGTATAAGAGCAAATAAAGCTGCAAAACAAAACAAAACACAAAAAAAAAAACAACAAAACAAAACATAAACATTCAAAAAACAATAAACGTATTTAACTACAACAATTGAGAAATGTCTTTCTTATTTCAACAAAAAAAAAATCTTTCCGATCGATTTAAATTCTTTGCAGACGACTAATATAATCAAATGAACTAGTTTGAAGCATACTTTTAGGATTGGCCAAAAGACTATTCCTATACCCTTGCCATATCTTTATCCTTACATATTTTTGAAGAGCATAGTGCGTTAGGATCACAAGTACCAACTCTATCGATTGGCAGTTAAGGATAAATGATTTTGGCAACCAAACACAAGTTAGAGCCGACCTTACTATAATACTGAGTATCACAAGTTCAAGTATGTGTGTGCTGTTAAAGTCCGTAAGGATATTACCGAGATATGACTACACAGAAATATATTTTGTATGCATTTCGGACATGTTTTTAAATTGTTCATAAGCATATAGTTCGCTGGGAGAGCAAGGACATGCGCAGGCTTTGAATTTCCCTTGAACTCTCTACTTGCTGAAAGCTAACATAATTTTAGACAGCTAATATAGTAATAGAGTTTAATTATATTTTAAATTTATCTTCGAACATGTTTTAATAAAATTTATTCCACATACATTTGGCAACTAAGCAAACAAGGGCTTTCTTCTACAATTGGTAACTCTTGTGGTTAGGTTGTCGCCCGTATAATGCAGGTCACACTCGGCGCCATTATTCTCAAAGGACATCTCACCCAGCATAAACTCGGGATTTAGAGCGACACGCAGGATATATGGTCGGTTAATGGGCACGGTGGTCACATCGACCCACTGGCAATCTAGGACATGACTATAAACATCCGCGCAGCCAGGAGTGATACCTACCAAAAAAAAAAAGGAAAAACACTCAATTCTAATGTGAGATGATCAGGTAGATAAAAAGCAAAAATGTACCCTGGGTAAAATTGCCACAGGTATGTCTGGGCTGCACGCCCACATTGCACTCGGTGTCCATCAAGCAAAAGGATGCCTTGTGACCCTGAGCGACCTTCTGATAGCGCCGATTGAGCACATCGAACGTGGCAAATACGTTCATGCTGTGATAGTGCTGGTGGCATTGATGCCACTCCCAGTCTCTGTAGTTTGCATAGGGACTCACATCCGCATTGCCCACGTTGGAGGCCTTCACAGAGAAGCGGAGCAACTTACGCACTGCACGCGGATTTGTTCTCCGTATCACATACGCATCTCGTGAGACACAATTCTCCTCCATGGCGCAGGTGAGCTGTGTCATAGGTACATCCGCCAGATATGCGCTAATCTCAATATCAGCTAGGCCAAGCTCGAGATCTGCAGATCGGGCAACACATGCCACAGTGCTCACATTACGATTGGCGGCATTGCAAACCGTTGGATATGTTAGCTCTCGTTGACACTCGGAGAGTTTTGATTCTGTGCCGCGACACAGGGTGCCAACCAAGGCCCAGCGATTAGCGCGACTGTTGCCATGTACGGTGCTGGGTCTGGCCATGGATGCGTATCCGAGTCCGAGCTGCTTGCACACAACATTGCCCTCCCTCAATGACCAGCGTGTGCTGCAAATGGTGCCCCACGTGGCGCCTTTGTCAAAGCTAACCTCTACGCGACCCTCATGCCGGGGTGGTCGATGGGATGTTGTCCGTTGTGAGCTGGCCAAACGCACCTGCATATTGCTAAAATTGGGGTGCACAGTCCGATTAGCGTGGCCCAGGCCCACAAAGAGTGCGAAAATTAGCAGCAGCAGCAGCACATTGAACTCCATGTTGGTGGCTAGTGAAGCACTTGCTGTGAGCCCGCAGCTTTAAAGCCAAATTTAAACAAAAGGCGACAACAACATCAAAACAAACATGGAAACACTGCTGTCTGCAGCACTCCGAAGATTGAATACTCTTTGGAGAACGTAGTTGAACTGCCTTCATTTAAATATTTTTTTTCGACGTTTGTGTTTAAATCTAAATATTATTATTTTCTTTTACTTTTGAATTTGTTTTTGAAACCTTGGTAAACAGAAAAGATGCTTTTATCTTGCGAACGATTATTGCTATGACAGCTTCATGATATAGTGGTTCGATTCTGCCGACTCCGTCAGATGTACGCACCTGACGACAAAACTTTGAAAGACTCCGCCAGAGTACATAAATAAAAACATCTGGCTGAGCTTTAGCAGCCCTTTTGTATTGTTGTGATAATAATGTGCATTGTATTTTTTTTTATTTTTTATTTTTGTTTTTTCATTCACAGCCGACTCACATATACAAAAGCCAGCTGCCCGATTGCCCCTGCGTGTGCCTATGTGTATCTGTGTGTGTGTGGTGCCTTTCACAACTGGAGTGCATTCATTCAACGCAATTATTAAGAACAGCAATAAAAGCAGCAACAAGGAGAGCAAAAGCCTTTATCAATGCAGCTGTTATAACTCAATCAGCTTGGCAATCTCATCTTTTAGGGTGGACGGCTTGAAGACGCCGTGCTCCGTTATGATGCCAGTGATGAGGGAGGCGGGCGTTACGTCAAAGGCGGGATTCCAGCAATTGATGCCCGGCGCCGCAATCCGATGCTCGCCGACATGGGTCATCTCTCTATCTGGTCGCACCTCGATGATAATGTGCTCTCCACTGGGTATCTGCAGATCAATCGATGTCAGGGGTGCTGCCACATAGAAGGGAACACCATGATGCTTGGCCACAACGGCTATTTGATAGGTGCCAATTTTATTGGCCGTATCACCATTGGCAGCAACCTGCAAGAATAGCAAAGAGATTTGAATTGGGATCTCAACTGCTGCAGCGGTCTGCTGGTCTGGCCTAGCATTAGTTGAACTTACCCGATCTGCACCGACGACGACAGCTGCCACATTCTTAACACGAAATAGCGCCGCTACCATGCTGTCCAGCACCAGGGTGGCGGGTAGCTTCTCGTGCACCAACTCGTAGGCGGTTAAGCGTGCGCCTTGATTATACGGCCGTGTCTCAGTGCAGTAAACGTGCTCTAGAAAAGGCAAAAAAAAAAAGATAAGAGTAGTTAAATAATTGCTCTCACCCGATTATTGATAATAAACACTTACCCAGCTTCCCCAGTTCGCTGAGGTGCCGCACCACGCCCAGCGCTGTGCCGTAACCAGCTGTTGCCAGGGACCCCGTATTGCAATGGGTCAGGACACGCACAGGACTCGCCGAGCCGGGTGAACCAGTTGCCTCGGCCACGCGCTCCAGTATGGCCTTGGCTCCATTTGAGCCTATAGCCCGATTATCGGCAATATCTTTTTCCAGCATTGCCTCAGTGGCGTCCAGGAATCTTGAATAATATTGGGATAATGGCTGCGCCATGTGATTTTTTGTTTTATCCACCCTAACACAAAATGTTCTGTTACCTTTGCTTCATGTTGGCCACCGTGACGTCATCATTCTTGCTTAGCTCATTGGCCAGCGTAATTAGCTCATCCGCAGAGATTTTCATGTTCACAGCCGTGGGCCGAGCTGAGACCAAATAGTTGAGCTTCCCTTCAATTTCCTGGCGCAGGGATTTCTTCGTTTCGAACTCCTCCGGATAGATCTCAACGGCCAGGGAAAGGCAGCCGACAATGGCAATCGCCGGTGCCCCTCGCACCTGCAAAAAAGTAAACAAACCCCAAATTAATGAACAAGTGCAAATGAACAAGTACACTCAGAGAAAGACAAAGACAATTTTGAGCTAATATACTTGAGAAATTTCTGATTCAAAATCTTTTAAGATGATACTTCAAATATAAGTTGATTATTGAACTGTAAGTCAATGAGTTTTTGATTTAAGAGATAACTTTGAAATTATTTCGAACTTTTAATTATTTGACCCAATATAATCAAGTTTTCGATTTAAGAGATTAAAATTTAAAATTCCAACGTAATAATAAATATAATGATAATATAAATAATGGATTAATCGATGTTGAAATTAGAATTTCATTCTCGTCTAATGGCAACATGTGTACTTGAATTGAGTGCAAAATTCCTTAGTTTCTCTGAGTGTATAATCAACTGCTGCTGCTGCTGCTGCTGCTGTGTGCACGTTCTTATCTATCTGGCCATAAACACTTTATAGTAAGATTATATAATAGCTCGCAGTCCACGTGATGAGCATGCGTGCTGCTCTTTGCACAAGCCGGGGCAACAGCAGCAGTGGAAGCAGAAGCAGGGGCATGAAGCACCCAGTGGCAGCAGCAATAGACATTACTGTAAACAGTTTGGAAATTATCTCTCCCGTTCGCCGATTCTATTTGTTCAGTAGCTAGAAATGGGACTTATCTGCACTGTACCGAAGATTAAATACGCTTGAAGGCTAACATTTTTCTTGTCTTAGCCAATTAACAACATTTTTCCAAACAAAAACACTTTCCTATGTAAGCTATATGTACAGATCATTAACTTTTGCTTAAAAGCGATTGTTGTGTATTTGGTGAGTTTGATAAACATATGTTGTTGAAAAAATTTAGTTTTTCATAGAAATCGATTTTTTTTTTCGACGTTTTCTTACTTTGAGAACTGCCTGCAGCAAAAACAAAGAAAAGAAACGATTTTCTTCCTTTATCATGGTGAAATTGGTGCCGATGAACAATATTATTTCAAGGCATATTTATACCTCAAACTAAAACTATTTTATTATAATTATAAAAATCTAAATCGGAAATGAAGGAAGTTATCAATGAAATATAATAAACTTGATCAGCATATATTTAAAATTTGAAGAGTTTTCCAATTATAGTCTCTGAGACTAATGCTGATCACGAATATATTAAACGTTTTGGGGATGTTGCCAATGCCTGTTGCACACTTTTGCACAACTTCATCATAGCCCAGATACGTTGAATTTCGTGATCATTTTAAAATGCAGACCTAATAAAAGGTATTAAGTAAGAATGCGATTAAAAGTCGATGTACTAAGTAGAGTGCAGTCCACTTAAATAGTTGAGATGAACAAAGCGCCAACAACTTGTGATTTCTATTTATTTTTTTTGGGTGGGGGGATAATGCATTAAATTCTTGATGATGATGTGGCAAGGGTTTTGTGCTTGGCAAACGTTTTACACTATTAAATTCAAATATGTGTAGCGAATTTTTAATTACGTTATTTTTAGCAAGCGACAACACTAAAAGTGACAAGAATATTTTAGAATGATTTGTGAACTGGGTATGCAGACAGAAATTTAATTGGTAAAGCTGAAACGCTGATTGGTTCTGTTTAATTGATAGATGGCTGCTTACCTGCATTTTGTTGATGACCTTCCAGCCATCCTCGACGCCGCGCACCGGCAAATACTTGGAGACGACGGGCAACAGGAGCTGATCAAGGATCTCGAGACTCCCTCGCTTATATTTGATCGATTGTAGGCTCATCTTCTTCTGTTGTGTTGTTGTTTAGTTTTGCAAATTTGTACTATGCGACTAACTGTAAGAGAGAGAGAGATGTATGAGAGACGTTAACAAATTGTATTCGGCCAAAACAAACCAATTCAAAATTTGGTGGGCGTTGATTTCGTGTTGGACCTGCAACATTTGCGACTGTCACAATTTATGGCCAGTGCCCAAATCGAATGTATGTATTTATCAATTGATCTATATTAATCAAATAAAACGTCAAACTGTCGAAAATGGCTCTCAAGCTCGGTGCAATTTTTGCAGTTGCTGTTTGGCAACGTCCGACAGCCAAATGCTCCCCTTTGCAACTGAAACGATTTCAACTGCGAATGGACCGCGACCAAATTCAAACAAGTAAGAGTGCTCTAACTGAGAGCAAATGCTCGACTAGCAGATACCCTACTTTTGGGTATGGAAATGGGTAATATACAATTTACAATATTGTTGAAAATATCTACAAATGCTATTATCAAATACTTTCTTGTAATATGTCAATTTACTAAGATAATTTTTTAAATAGTCCACAAATTCTTAAAAGTTAATAAAAGACAAATTTAAAATGAAAATTGTAGTTACTAAATAATTGAAAATAAAATCAATAAATTAATTACAATCTAAAATTAAAATAAATAAATACATATGGTAAAATGTGGCAACATTTATTGCAAGGATTGTATAAATATTGAAAATAACCCAATCAGACCAAAGAAAATAAATATTTCCTTGCGATATTTTAGTCCTTGTATAAAGTCATTTTAAAAGAGATATTCGCAGCTGATTAAATACTTGAAAAATACACACAAACAAACAAACAAATCAAATTTAAGCAAATTGTTTCATATAATTCACACGTTGAATTGGGTTAGAAATTGCGGGGTATAAAAAATGTTGGCAGAAGAGAGTAATCAGCATGTAATAGGTAAACTGAGCAGAAGAGAGTGAGAAATTCTCTCGCACTGTGTGTATAGCGTCTAGATGGCTAAACGATTAATTAAACTTGTCACAAAGCTTGTGTGGATCCGTTGAAAATTGATAAAGGCAGGCAACGATGTCAACGATGACGCCGAAGCTGACGTCGGCGCTGGCGCAGGCGCAGGCGTTGACGCCGGCGTCGCTGTAGCTGTCAGCATTTTGTCGAGCTTTGTGTTATTTGTGTTTTTATATGACAGCCGAACAGTAAAATGGACAGCAGCGCGCTTATCTTCAAACTGAAATAAACACATATATTTTTATGTATATATGTGTATACACATGTATATGTGTGTGTGTAAAAATAAAATCCAATCGTAATGCCTTGATAATTCTCAGAGAAGCGTAATTAATGCGCCAGCAATTAGTTGTGCGCGTTGTAACTGTTAGCAAAGAACTTGCAACCTGGTGCATTGCCAAATGTCTGTCTAAACAAAATTATTGCACACACACACACATACACACACACACACACAGAATAACATAAATGTAACTGTAAATATCAGCGGCATGCAACTGGTGGTTTGGTTGGCCATAACATTGATGACAACCGGCTGACGCATTGGCAACAGCTGCAGCTCATACACACATGTATTTAAACATTGATTTTCACTTGCCTATTTTATATAATTTCGAAATTGTGTGTCAATCACTTTCAATTCACCTCACAGAAATTTAAATCGCAAGCAAAAAAACGTAAACACAAAAAAGGTAAACAAGCTAAATGAAAAATGTTAACGCACAGTGTGACCATTTAGCACAGGCCTGTTAAGTTTATAGAGGGCAAAAACATCTGATTGTCGATAGACACCGCTTCTTACTTAAACTAATTGTCAAAATGTTATAAAACACGCCGGCTTTTCCTTTTCTGGTTGTTGCTGTTTGTACTCACTGCTATCTTTACGTATTTGACGTTTTATCAATTGTAATATTTGGCAATAACTTTTTGCTTAAATCATTAATAAATTCGTTTAGGCAGCAAATGGTCAGAATTTATTCTAACTTTTCTTTTCAAGTTGTAAATTAAAGCTTAACGCGTCGCTAAACCGTTCGAAAAGTCCAATTAATTAAACACAAAAGTTGTGCTTTGAAAAAATCACAGCGTTTAGTTGAATGAAATTTTTTAACACGTAACAGTGCATTAACAGAGCGCGTTTTTTAGTATTGATTGTTAACAGTGGTGTCGATAACGATAAGGTGGCGCAACATATCAGCTGAACGGAAAAGTGCCCATGAATGCCAATAGAGGGCGACTACTTTGCGGGAATATTCAAATTGAAGTTCAAAATTTGTAAACCTAAATACTTTTGAACAATGATGGAGCAAAAAATAACACATCGCCTGTACCGTCTAAACCCGTCTAAAACCTTATTTATGTTGTGCGACCTACAGGAAAAGTTTAGGCCAGCTATACCAATGCTTGACGCCGTTATAAAGAATTCCAAGAAATTGGTAGGTTTATCGGGAATCAGCGATAATTAAAGCTTACAGTGAATGAGAATTATATCCGCAGATAGAAGCTGGCAAAATATTCAATGTGCCACTGGTGGTCACCGAACAATATCCGGAAAAGCTGGGCAGCACAGTTTGCGAACTGGATGTGAATCATGCCTGTTGCATTTTACCAAAAACACAATTCAGCATGTTTTTGCCACCCATCGAAAAGAAAATGAAGGATATCTTTGGTGAGAAGCCAAAGACAGCGGTGCTTTTTGGTATTGAGGCAAGTTCAAATCCATTTGAAAAGGAATTCGATCTGTACTTATATAGATGAACAGCATTTTCTCACAAATCTTTCTCTCTTACACAGACGCACGTGTGCGTGGAGCAAACTGCATTCGATTTGATCAACAATAATGTGGATGTTTGGCTGGTTGCCGATTGTTGCGCCTCTCGGCTCAATCAGGATCGCGATTTGGCACTGGAACGATTGCGACACATCGGCTGTACAATTGCCAGCTCGGAGAGCGTCATCTTCAATCTACTAAGCGATAAGGAGCACAAGGCCTTTAAAAAGATAGCGCCACTCGTGAAGAAAGTGTCGGCAGATATGAAACTTTGGCTGCCCACACCGAAAAAAGCCAAAACATAATGCTCTTTGATGTCGACCGATTTTCGTATTACATTTCTGGAATTTCTCAGTGTCTCTGAGTATAGCTCATAGGAAATTATGAGGAAGTGGAAGGGGGAAAGATAGGGCCTTGCTGTGCATCGTCAAAAGTCATAAACATTTTCGGTCAACCGGACAGTTGAATGGAGAGCGGTTCCTTATATGTTAACGTTGCCAAGAGTAGCATTCGCTGGCTAACCTGCTGCCTACTGCCTGCTGTCTGCTGCCTACTGCCAGTTTATGCAAAAATGCTCGGAGCGCACAACTTGTAAATACCGATGCAGTTAAATTTCATGATGCAATCTGTGGCAAACAATCTGCGCTTGTTGTTTGCCTACGCGCCTCGAGGCAACAACCCATAGCTGTGTCTAAAATCTATAGTCCCTGTTCGGTCTGTGGTCCATAGGTGATGGTGACAATGTTACCAGGCAGCACGCGTCTGTCTGATTGACTCATAACAGGCAAAAGCGATCACAATCTCAGTCAGCCAGTAAGGCTAGCAATTTATTTGCCCAAGTCCTGCTAGCTGCCTAAGTGAAACTGATGGCGATGACACTCAAGCACGCGATATGCTAAAAGTTACCACAAAACACTATATCCAAAGCAATTAAATGCTCCGATTCTAAACTAAGAACAACAAAATTCATTTTGTATAACTTACATAATTTTGACTTCCTTATTGCAAGAATAATGTATGGAATTAGTAATTATTTCACACTTTTCCCCTAACTAAATATTAAAAAATAGTTGCAATTTAAAAATTGTTTTTAGATATTCAATTTATTGAAAGTCGCCTTCTTACTTAAACAATGTTTGCAAAAATTCTTTAGAATAGATACTATTCTATGAGAGCAACATCGCACAGCAATCTTTTTATGATGTTTATATATTCTTGTTCGGCATCACCTGCCGAGTTTTTATAGCTCGTCTGTAATTCTGTCTGTTTATATGCACACGAGTCTCTCCTTCTTGAAGCTCTCTTCATAAATCTTGGCATATGTCTGTCTTTTTGCTGAAGCACATATCACATAGCTGCAATAGGAACATGTTTCTTATTTACCAAGTATAAATAACCAAACTACAATGAGAATTATAACGGTTAAACAGATTCGCATTTCATTAAGTCGGATTTAAAATAGAAATCAAAACAGCTGCAGCGTAAAGTGGCGGCTTGCTCTGTTTTTTGTCATTATCATTTGAATGGGCAGTAGCAATTCTCTTTGAACTTGTTTGTTTGAGTTTGGGGTTTTGCTAATACGTCAACCTTAGAAAGACATAACTTTCCGTTTTAAATATATACTTTCTGAATTATAAGTTGGGTTGCCCTTATTTCTAAAATTTAGACCAATATTTTTGTAGTGCATGTATAATCAAAGAAAATTTCATTGGTCAAATGCCATAAATATCAAGTCGAGCGAGCTTTCGAATCAGTATGATTTTGAGCCCCTACTTGCAATGAATATATTCATTGCCCCGATTCCAGCTATTTGTTTAGCATCAGCTTTTCGGCTTTCGATAGCTGATAAGACGAGTGTACATATTTAATAGCTGCACTTACCCATTAGTAGTACGGCCTTAGTTGGAAATGCGCAAAAAACCTTGATTCGTTTTAAATATAATTTAAACAACAAGAATAAAGCTAAACAGTAGAAATTATGACATTTTGCTCATCTCAATTCCACAATATAGAATTCATCTTTCTACCGATTAGGAATAAGAACATTTGCAGCCAAATGATGATGATCCAATCCGTCCGGCTCCGACATAAGTACTGCCGGCACCAAAAATATGTAAAAGATTCAGGAATATAGCTTGAAACTGTTTTAATGCTGATCAACAGTGCACTTCATGTGGTCTCGTCAAAAACTAAAGCATAATTTAAATTGATACGTTTTCATAGAGAAAAATCACGCCTAAATATAACGAATTGGAAGCAATTAGGCACTCACAGCTCACTTAACCAATCCCCATTAAAACCCAAAGCTGCATTTAAGCTTGGCACGATACACGAACTGCGTAAAACTTGGCCAACGGTAACATGCGTAGAAGTTTGGCTAAAAGCTGCCAGCTGCTACGGGCAATATGCTGTTTTGCAACGGGCCATAAATTTGCAGAGTCGAGGCTTGCAACTGGTTTTTTTTTTCTTGGCCGGCGCGGCAAACGCGGAGTGGCATATTCATAAATTTTGGCTTTTGCAACCGACGATAAAAATGATAAATCTGTGAAATTGCAGCACCATGTGCAAATTAACAGGCGATCAGAAAGAACAGACGATGAAGAGCTGAATGGCTGAGTCTGCTGCCGTAAAGGATATTTATGTGTTTGCCGCCAGCCAAGTGGCAAGTGCCGAACTGCAACTGCAACTGCAACTGCGTCTGGGCGCCTAAACCAAATGTCATGAAAACCTCTAAGCGAACTAACCGACGCAGCTAATACACTAACTCAGTTTAATTTATTACCATTTGTTATCAAAAAAAATATATAAAACACTTCCAATTTAAATTGAAGTTAATAGTAATTATTAATTTAAACAAACACGATTTTTGAAGTGTAATACAATTATTATTCACATCAATGAGTAAAGATTTAAGTTGAATAGAATTAGTATTAAATTAAACAACTAGGAAATGAGTAAAGGTCCTTAATTGTGAAGTGAAGTTTAAGAATATAACATTTTAATCAAAATTATTATTCACATCAATGAGTAAAGCTAAGTGTTAAGTGTATACAAATTGCTAGTATAAGTGTTAGTGCATACAAAATACAACAGGGAAATAAATAAAAGATAATTAATTGCCAGGCAGTGAACGCCTCAAGTAAATAATAAAAAAAAAATTAATATAATAATCAATTATATGGCTACATATGCTTGACACTTGTCAGGCTTCTAACTGTTCTTATAATACCCTCTGAAGCTTAAGGTTGGGGTTGTTCCTGTTGCCAACCATTATCAACCATCCAAATGTGTCCGAAGTGTTTTGACAAATGTGAGAAAAATTAAGCGGCGCTTCAAAGAGCCGTTGGCTCCTCTTCTACTTGCTGGAGTTGCATTATTTATGGACTGTTGTTGTAGTTGCCCAAATTAGCCAAATTTCGCCTAGAGGGCAACAGAGAGTAAAACAACAGCAGCAACTAATGAAAGATTGTTTAAATTTGGAATCAGTTGCATTTCCCACAGTGTAAGAGATTATTTAGTCATTTAGAGTGTTTCACATGCAGCAATTAGTTTAATAATTTTATGCTAATTATGCGCTTCACAAAAAGCTTTGTTCTTAAGCACCGCCTATTTAGGGGGCGTGGTACCGGAAAATAAGTAAGTAATTTCCGCGTCACCTGTTAACCCAGTAAAATGCAAGAGTCGACCATTGACCAACAATTAGTGGGTAGCCCCCTTTAAGATATGATCTGTATCTATCTGTGTACAGTGAGTACCACTTACTGAGTACCATCCAATTAGCATATGAGTTATACGACTACAGACTCATAGACTCTTAACTCTTGCCTCTTGGCATATTGGGGCGTCCACTGGGTGTGTGAATGTTTGTATTCTCGTCTCCTCTCGAGTATTATAATTAAGTTAGAGATCAAGCTGCAGGGCCATGCTAAGTGGCTAGCAACTATCAGACAAATATTGATGGGCGGCGAAAACGATGCCGTACAGTTAGATGATTAGCTAGGATATGAGAATTTCCGGTTAAGAGAATTACGGTTAAGCAATGAAGAAAGGGGGCAAGCTGTTTGAAATGCATTTAAAGCTTGAATGTTTTCTTGATTTGGTTTTATATTATATATAATTCTAGTAAATTTGCCCGATTTTCTATAAATGAAACTTTGTCGTAGTTAAAGATGAATATATGCATGGATATTAAGATATAAATCAAACTAATACTTGTTCAAATCTATCAATATTAAATAAGTTATGGTTCGTTGAGCTACTCGTACAAATATCTCTTGTTAATATGCAAATAAGCGTAGAAAGTAAACGTAGTACAATGCATGCATATTTAATTTGCTTGCCTAGGAGCCTGCACCAGTACTCCCCTGAAGCACATGCTACTTGCTACTTGAAGTATACCCAAGACGGCATAAATTTGCGAACTGTGAACAAGTGAAATTCGCCAAATTTGGCAACTGTAACTGCATAACTGCAAGTCAAATGGGATTCAAGTCACTTTGATGTGGCCAACAGCAAGATGGTGAAGAAGCCGAAGGAGAAGAGGCTGAGGAAAAGGAGGAGCTGTAAACCGGGTGACTGAGATAAAGCACGCAAATGTGTTGAAGTTGGCCAACATTTTGGCCAATTGCCCATATAAATGCTACTGCTAACTGCGAACTTTTAGCATAAATTTGTAAATCTTTTCTGACATTTTTTTTCTACTTTTTTTTTTGTCATTTTGTTTTATTTGACAACAAGTCGACGCACATTTACGGTAACTTGTCGCAGCCAAAATACAAATTTAAGCAAATTACTAACATATGTAAATACATATACAAATGGATTAATGTGTGTGTATGTGTGTGTCTGTGTGTGTGAGTGTTGTATATTCTTTTAAGGCATCAAACAAACGGACAATATACAAACAAAACAGAAAAAAGAAAAAAAAACCGGAACGTTTAGCTGTTATAGAATGGAGCAGCCTTTCACAATATTGTCTGTTGTTGCTATTGTTATTGTTGTTATTGTGTGCTTTGATAAAAAGTGAAGATAGCACTCGGTGGCTGCGGAGAAAACATTTAAAGCCTTGGTGTAAACATCTAGCATAACATACTATGTTAACTGATCTAGTTTCAGCCAGCAGTTCAAACAAATAACACAGATAGAGATCGCTGACAGCTGCTCTGGTAGCTGATGTTTATCTACTGCACATGATTATTCAATTCAAAGAGAAAACGAGCTTATCCTTAAACAGGTTAAGGCTTTACTCTGTACTTGTTACCCTTGTACATGGCATCTGCTCGTCTCAAACATTTCTGTCTAGAGGATACCCTCTTACTTTAATTGATTTCTATACCTAGTTGCCTTTGGCTTTTAGTTAAGTCAGTCGCTTTCTTTCGTTGCCCAACCCAGTTGAGAAACTCTTTTGGCCAATATCCATTTGCCGAAATGTCAGAAGGCAGTTGATGTTCAATCACAGACCGTTTGGTGTTTTTCCGGCTCATCCATTGCAAGGTTTTCAGCTTGTCAGTGGCCCAGTCAAAGCATTGTGTCACGATTTGCCATAAACACCTTGCAGAAGTGACTAACCCGAAAAGCGCATTTGCCCATGCCAATCGATTATGATTTATCAAATCGATGTGATTTGTGCAGCGTGGCACAAAAGAAGCCGCCGTTTTAACTCTGGCTAAGTCAATAAATAGAAAGTGAACTTGTGTCTGCCAAGATTTGCAAAGCAGCAGGTCAATCGATGGACTCAAAAGCAAGACGCCAGCATACAAACGGATTCACTTTTAAGACACAACAAGAACAAGGAACATCTATCCCAACCAAGCCGAAGTTTTCATACACTTGCAGAACAAAATCCACCTGCTGAAATCTTGTGTGATAAAGTTTGAAAAACTTGTTAAACGAAATAGCATTTCGTTACACACTTTATGACAAAATTATAATACCTGCAGGCAAGGGTAGACAATAACGAAAACCGAAAACCAGAAAACGGGCTAATGATAATGTTTGAATTATTCCAGTGAACCAGAGCCAACACCAGAGCCAAGCTCAGCTCAGACTCGGCTCAG